AATTAAAAATACGTTCTATTTTAAGTTACAAATGTGATACCTTAGCGGTCCCCAAAGTGACAAATTACAAACGAGAAAATACAGACACACCCATAATTCCTACCAACAAAGATTATCTGGCATCTGGCCCTGTAATCGTCTCTTTGCACGTGTTTACTGACAGGCATCGGTGTGTGCAGAAACTGTGACAACTCCCTGCCGTTGCAGAAGACAGCCTAGGTCTGGCTCCCTCTGATCCCTCGTGTGACTATCAATAAAGAACCATTCAGTGCAGATTAGAAATGAAAGCAGCTTTGACTTCAAAGAACAAACAGCTAAATCAGAGAAAGGAGGATTTTCAGGTGCCTGGAGGTGGGGAAAGATTTTCAAGGGGGTAGAACCTCTCTCTTTTGGCAAAAAAAAAAAAGCACTAGATAGAAAGGAGGCAAAAACCCCAAACAGAAACCTAGGGAATCATTATATCAAGGTTAATGGATTACAAGTGATTTCTTTTAGAAACAATTTTAATGATAGTATATGATTATAATGTTTCACCACTAGAAAGAGTCTAAGAGGCCTTTGAGGGATTACTGATGAAAAAGGATGATTTTATGAAACGCAGCAATTCTTAAGAAGAATGCAGCCCAAAAGGCTCTCTTCTCCTTTATAGTTTCTTCCAAGTACGGGCTCCCTGAGACAGAGGCCGAGCGAGCAGACAGCCACAGACCTGAGAGCTCAACTGAAGAACGAGAGTTGCTTGTGAGCACACATAGGGAAAAGCCGGTAAAAACAAATAAAAGGTATTACGGGTTTCTCTTTTGTGGGGGGGAAAACAGAAATTCTTAACCATTCATGACTAGTAAGAAAAGCAGTTTGTTTTCTTAAGCATTTGTGTTTGCTTTCTTAAGTATCTTGCCGCCTATCCATTCCCAAATTACATGCTCTTTATTACAAAAATAATTCTTAGAAGCATCCCTTCTTAAACAGTAATTAGTAATTCTAATATTTGTGCTCAAGTGGGCAGGTTTTTTAAAATTTTATTCATTGATTTTAGAGAGAGGGAGAAAGAGAGAGAGAGAAACATCAGTTTTATTGTTCCACTTATGTATGCATCCATTGGTTGATTCTTCCTATATGTGCCTTGACCTGGGGATCAACCCGCAACCTTGGCGTGTCAGGATGATGCTCTAATGAACTGAGCTACCCGGCCAGGGCAATGCTCAAGTGTTTTTAAAAGAGTCCTACTTACTCTAAAAAGTACCATTACATAGAAACACATACTTGTCTACTCAGAAGCACATGGCTGGCTGCCTGGCTCAGAATCCACTAGTTTCTACTCATCCACCCTGGGCAGACATTGCTAACTGCTCACAGCTCCCCTTTCCACCAATCTGAAGGCTCTCTCTGCATCATCCTTTGTTCTTCTCAAAAGGCAGCTTCTAGGTGTGGATCAGAGGAGCCCTCCCCCGCCAAAAAAGTCTCATTTCTTTGCGATACAAACTCAAGACGCCACCTGGCGGTGAAGATTCTTAATTGCAGGCAGAGTGCCTAGAAAAAAAGACATGCCCTGAGCCAGCAAAGCCAAAAATGACAGTAAATGCACGGTTCTGTCTAGTCTTGCATAAGTACAATAACCTCCTAAAGAAGAGTTTTGCATTTAAAAAGGTATTTTCTTTACTTTATCCCAAGAGGTTGGCCAACAGCATTTCACGCAACAATTAGTAGTAGCAAAGGGCCTTTAGGAACTCCCAGATCCTTGCTCAATGTTCAACTCACCAAAGACCAACCCTTTTGTCAGTACCAAGCCTCAGATCCCCAGGCTGCCAAGATTTCTCATTCTTCCAACTATATGTAACATTTTTTGGATTCAACATGGGTACTTTTTTCTGAGCATTATGTGCAAGGAGCGCATTTAAATGTTCCTCATAGCCAGCTGCTCTGAGACAAAGGCTGCTAGCCCCATTTTCCAGGTGAGAACACTGAGGCTCAGAGAGGGGAAGCCCATGGACTGAAGGGTCCCAGGTTTGATTCCGGTCAAGGGCACATACCTCAGTTGTAGGCTCGATCCTCTCTCTAAAAATCAATGGAAAAATATCCTCGGTGAGGATTTAAAAAAAAAATTTATGTACCCAAATATATCTTCTATGACTTCTGGTGTATGTATCTTTCCTAAAACTCATAGAAATTTTCCAAAAAGGGCCCAGCATCTATATCTACTTATGATCTATCAGGGGAACTAGACAAATCAACAGATGACTCTAGCATAGAACGCTGTGAGTGGGGAAGCCCAGTACACACGTGGCCCAGTCTTGGGGATGTGGGGCACCTTCCTAGAGGCAGGGAAGGGGTGATGTCTGAGTTGAGACTGAAGGGTGAGTGGCATTGGCAGGCAGAGGGGATAGGATGGGAAAGGCCAGAGGCCAATTGGAGGACACGGGGTCCGGGACAGAGGGAGGAGGAGCAGGCCAGGCCACTTGAAGTTCTCAGCCAGAGAGCAGCAGGGACTGAGTTTTCCCTCACAGGGTTACTTGGCTCTGTTTGCCTTCGGGAAGATCCTGAAGGACTGGAAGGATCCAAGAGGAGGTGAGAGGCCACTGGAGGAGACCAAGGCCACATCCCACAAGGGGGTGGAGGCTGGGTGGGATGGAGCCAAGGAATGGGCAGATGGAGAGGATCCAGGCCTGGCCCCGCAGGGCTGAGCGGGAGGGCCTGGAGTCCAGGTGCTTGAAGAATGCACATCCCCCATAAGGCTGTCCATCCACTTAGAGTCCTCGGGCCACGCTCCAGGCTAGGAATCCATTTCTCCAGTGGCTCCATCTGCTAACAGGGCTGCCGTTCATAATTTATACCAGCTGCAGGCGGCTCACAGCCCATTGGTCAGCCAGTGCCAGGCATGGGCGGGAGATGGAAGAAGGATGGCGTCCCATCCTTGGGGCTGCGGGGTGCAGGTCTGAGGGAGGCCAGAGCTCATAGGGTGCAGAGGGATGGATGAGGCCCTTGGGGTGGTGCTGGGCTGGCACCCTGGGCCTGCCCCTCTGCCCAGCTCTCACAGGGGCTGAGACCACAACCTGGGGTCCTTTTCCCAAAATGCCCTCTGTCAATGTCTGTCTGCCCTTCTCTTTTCCATCTCCCTGGCCCACTTGCCTCACTGTCTCTGGCTTGCTGGCTCTCTTTCTGAGTCTCTCTCTCTGTGTCTCTCCCTGACTCCTCTCATTCTCCTCTTCCCCCTCAGAATCACTTCCTCAGAGGTGGAAACCATTTGGGGGTATTAGGAGGGATAGGCCCACATGTTTCTGGCCCAGAACCCCCCCTCCCCCGCACCCCTGACATGGGGAGGGCTGGTGGGCTGCTCCAAGGTGTCTGCTCTGAGTGACTCCTCTTGCCTGCCCTTCACACCTGCCAGATCCGTCTAACCCACGGGGACTTTTGGCCGCCCACCCAGAAGGTCCTCTCACTTGGCAGACCCTGTTCCTAGACCCTTGCCCACCAAGCATCCCCCTTACCAGCCTAGAAGTTCCACTACTGGTGACTTAGGGTTTAAATGAAGAAGAGTCCCTAGTAACTGCATCCCAACATTTAACAACATTAAACATCAGTCACTTTGGTCTGAATGAGCCAACAGCTTCTCCCTCTACCCCCAGCCAGGTGGATGCTGCCTAAGGAGACTTCACTGGCCCATTTTTGCAGGAGGAGAGGTGTGGAAAGAGACGCAGAATGAGGGGTGAGGGGCCCCAACAAAGGTACGCGGGGCAGAAAGGAGGGGGCTTGGGGGAAGGGAGCAGAGGAAGGGAAGTGGGACAAACCTTAAGGAGAAGGCCTCTCATTTGTCCATTCCTTCACAGGAGAGACCCCAAGTCTTGAATCACCCCGTTTTCCAGATGGGGGGACTGAGGCCTGAGAAAAGGGACTCCCTCTAGAGCAGCGGCCGCCAACCTTTCGGACCTCAAGGGCCACCCGTGGTCCTCGGACCACCAGGTGGTGACCGCTGCTCTAGAGCACATTGAACATCGCGGTCTCCTAACTCCAAACACAGGCACCCTGTCCTGCCACGCCTGCTGTGCCCTGCCCTGTCCTCCCCGACCCCCAATGTGCAGGCCTCTCCCCCGAGGATTCCCGAGGAGGGCAGGAAGGCCTCTCAGAGCCCTAATTTATGATTTTCTGGCAGCTTCCTTCCTGAATCACCCCGTTTTCCAGATGGGGGGACTGAGGCCTGAGAAAAGGGACTCCCTCTAGAGCAGCGGCCGCCAACCTTTCGGACCTCACGGGCCACCCGTGGTCCTCGGACCACCAGTTGGTGACCGCTGCTCTAGAGCACACTGAACATCGCGGTCTCCTAACTCCAAACACAGGCACCCTGTCCTGCCACGCCTGCTGTGCCCTGCCCTGTCCTCCCCGACCCCCAATGTGCAGGCCTCTCCCCCGAGGATTCCCGAGGAGGGCAGGAAGGCCTCTCAGAGCCCTAATTTATGATTTTCTGGCAGCTTCCTTCCTCCCATCACTCCCTTCCAGCCCCAGTCCCAGCTCTGGCAGGAAGGAATGAGCTGGGTGAGAAGGGCAGCTCCATGGAGCATAAATAACTTGGCCCGGCAGCTGCAGGCTCTCTGGGACCCCCCAGCTCCCCTGCTATGGCCCCACGGGGTGTCCCCTGCTCTGGGACGAAGGGCCAGGCCTCCAGATGAAAGGCACAGAAAGCGGGCATTGTTCCCCAACCTAGAAGCCCGGGCAGGCCCCGCCCTCCGGCCAGCCCTTTGTCTGGGCAGACACTTTCTTTGAAGGCCACCGGCCCCTTCCCTCTCATGACATTGGGGCTGCTGCCACAGGCTCGGGGTCCCCGGGGGCTGCACCACGGGCTCTGGCAATACCCAGCACCCTTGGGCTGCTTCCTCGCCTACACAATGGGCACGATATGGGTACAGATCAGGTGGAGGGTCTGCGCTCACACAGACTGGCGTGTGAACAGGGCTGATGTGGGCACCTGAGCTGGGAGGCTGTCCTGTGGGACGCAGGCAGAGGAAAGAGGCACATGGTGCGGCCCCGTGGGAGGTGACAGAGGAAGGAGGCTGTGACCCAGGTTTGTTTGCTGTGGGGAGAGCAGCATTTCCTGTTTGGACTAGGCCAGGGTGGATGTGTCAGTGAGTCCACACCAGAAGGCCTGCTGGGGGAGGGTGTGTGTGTGTGTGTGTGTGTGTGTCTGCGCGCACGCACACACGCACGTCTGAGTCCATGTCCCTGTGTGGTCCATGTGTTCTCTCTCACCTCATCAGCTCCCAGACAGAAGTCTAAACCTGAGTTGAGTTCTCATTTGTACCCCCAAAGAAGTCCCCCTGAGGGGCTCAGCCAGAGGGAGGCAGTGTGGCTCAGTGGGTAGCCATCCATCACCAGCTGTGGGCCCGGGGCCAGCCCCACACCTGGGGATAATAAGGCGCCCCCTCCCTCCCCAGTGGCCGAGAGGAAGGAGGGCTGGAGACAATGCAAGCAAAATGCTTAGCACAGCGCCTGGCACAGCCAGAGCTCAGGACCGGAAGCTGCTGACCTTACTGGCGGTTATGGTCTGGTCTTGGCAGCAGAGAGGACCAGCCCCCAGGGAGGAGGCCCCGCCCACAGGGACAGGCCTGAGACCTCAAGCTGGGGAGGGGGGAGCCCTCTCCTCCCTGTCTCAGCAAATTCTGAAACCTCAAATGACCAAGACCCAGGTCCCCGAGGCATTTCCTGCCCTTCCTTCAGGGAGGAAAGAGGAGCAGAAAACAGGCTGACATCCCCCAGGAAAGTCGCCCTTGGAAGGGGGCTCTGGGCTGTGCCCGTGGGGAGACCCACAGCCATCTTCCTACTTTCCCTGGACTCTTGAGCCAGAGGGATCTTAAAAAAGGTCCTAGGACTTTTTTTTCTTCTTCAGGCAAGGACATGAGGCTCAGGGTTGGGGAGGTCCCTTGTCCCAGGTCGCAGAGGAATTGACATCTAGGCCTCTGGGGTGTTGAGCCTGTGCAGTAACCACCAGGCTACACCATCACGGGGTGTGACTGTAGTTGTAAATATATACCCTGGACAAAGGGGTCCCAGCCTCAGCAAGGACAGGATCCCCTCTGATGTCAAATGTTGACAACAGCTTTCACTGAGAGGGTCCCTTGATGGAGAAACTGCACAATGGCCTGAAGCCCCCATGAGTTTGAGGGTAAAGGAACGCGTATGCCATGAATCACAGGAGCATCTCGAACATGTTGCAAGCAGGCCCGGCAGGGTGCCTCCTCATCCTGTGGTACCCAGCAGCGGTCCCAGTCATCTTGCAGGCCCTCCCAGACCCTCCCCAGGGTCCCAGTCACCTCTTAGGCCCTCCCAGACCCTCCCCAGGACAGAAGCCACTGCCCAGCCCTTCTCCTTCCTCAGGAGCCGCCTGCCCCTCCAAGTGCCCTTTGGAAAGATGGTTTTTGATCCCAGTCACTTGACCAGGCTGAAGACAGGCCTGGGAGTCTCTGAGGAGAGGGCTTTGAGAAGGACACTTCCTCCAAGGGACTAAGTCACTGATCTGGTTGTAGCAAAAACAGGGGCTGCCCGAAATGGGGTGTGGCTCAGTGGTTGGAGCATCAACCCGTGCACCAAAGGGTTTTGGGTTCGATTCCTCGTCTGGGGCACATACCTGGATTGCAGGTTCAATCCCCAGCCCCAGTTGGGGCACATGTGGGAGGCAACCAATCAATATATCTCATCAATAATTCTTTCTCTCCCTCCCTCCCTTCCACTCTCTCTAAAAACATCAGTGGAAAAAATATCCTCAGGGGAGGATTAACAAAAACAAAACAAAAAAACAAGGGCTACAGAGAGGCACAAAGCTGCATTTCTTAGGGTTCAGTTAGGTGGCACATAGTAGGTGCCCAAAACTCACACGTGGAAGGGAGGGAGGGAGCTTCCCCAGGGGCCAAAGCGGGCACCGTGATGATGTCCTTGAAGCAAGTGGGTGCCCTTGGGGGACGATGTGAAGCCGGAGAATGTGGGATCAGGGCGCTACCGTGATATCTGCCCACACACCCATCTGGAGCCTGCAACTGTCCTCCTCACAGAGAGAAACTGAGGCTCAGAGAAGGGCAGGGCTCACCCAAACTAACTCGGGGAGAGGCGGCCTAGGCGGGGTCTGAACCCAGCTCTCACCACCTACCCACCCCCTCAGGGCACAGGCTCAGCTCCCTCCATATCCGCGCACCCTCCCTTGTCCTGACGCAGGCCCGGTACCTGGTGCTACCAGCCCTGGTGAGTCCAGGAGGCAGCCCTGGAAAATCAGAGGGAGGGGCTGGCAGATCCTTCCCGCTGGCGTGTTTCTAGCAGAAATCATGGATCTGGACAAACCCACGGCAGGATTCTGAGGGACAGGCCCCCAGTCACCACCAAGCTGGACAGGGGGCTCCCCGGCCAGGACTGCCAGCAGCTCATCAATCCGGGCAGAAGGGGGTTAGACTGTCCTGGAGTTTTGGAGGGTCTGGGCCCCGCTGATGAGAGCTGTGGTCTCTCTTCATAAACACACACACCCATCATGCCTGTGCACACACATGCATGCACACACACACACATACGCTCACATCACACACACCCATCATGCCTGTGCACACACATGCATGCACACACACACACTCACATCACACACATTTGCATACACCTTGGTGGTATTCACAGCCCTCTCCCCAGAGGCTCGCTCATCCATGAACCCCAGATGAAGAAACCCCACTCTCAGCCAGTCCTGACCTTGTCACAGACGGGAAAACCGAGCCCCAGACCAATGCGCTGTCTACATTCTTTCCTAATCGTGCTGAAGAGCTGACCCCTCTGAAGTCAGATCTCTGTTCAAAACGTAGCTCCTCCAACCACGGGTGGAGGGCTTTAGGCCAATGATGTTTCCCCTCTGTGCCTCAGCTTCTCCGTCTGTAATATGGCGATGAGTGGACACTGACCTAATGGGATCAACCCAGGTCTTCTCCTCCCAGGGGGAGTATGAGTGTCTGGGCCTCAGTTTTTGCCTCTGTAAAATGGGGATAATTGTGCCCACCTCTCCCAGTGTGGTTTGAAAATTAAACCAAAATGGGATGTGAAGCAGAGGTGGCACTCACTGCTCAGGAAGCCTTGGTTGCAAGATGGACAGATCCGGCTCCCCAGAGCCTGGGGAACTGGATCCCTCAAAAAAGAGGGAGGAGCCCTGGCCGGGGCTCAGTGATTCGAGTGTGGGCACTGAAGGGTCTCGGGTTCAATTCCCCGTCAAGGGCATGCACCTGGGTTGCAGGTTTGATCCCAGTGCCTGCAAGAGGCAACCAGTCGATGTGTCTCTCTCATCTCTCTCTCTCTCTTCCCACCCACCCCCGCTTCACTTTCTCTAAAAATCAATGGAAAAAATATCTTCGGGTGAGGATTAACAAAAAAAAAGAAGAAAGAAAGAAAGAAAGAAAAAAAGAGGAAAGAGAAAGAAAAAGGGGAAGAGGCTCCCGCATCATTCGTTCAAGCTTGGCGACCTGGGGTCCTGGATGCGCCTGGGACCGCGGCCAGGACTCAGCCCCCCGGCCCTGCAACATGTGCGAGGG